CTGGTCACTGTAGTCCTCTGGGAATTGCCTCCGCACCTCAGGATCTGTAAATAATTGACAGATAATATTAATTGGCTTTGGATTAGTGAGCAAGCAGAGAATCACACATTAATATTTGATCAGAAGATGATAGCAACCCTGGCAGGGGATCCAAGAAGGGCAGCTGAGGCTGCTATGTTGATAAGTGCAGGGAAGGACTTTTCAAGGCTCTTCCTTTACCCTCCTCCAGAAAGACACAAAGTGTATATAGAACATACACACACAAAATGCACAAAGTCATCAAAATCTGTGACCATACACACACATACAAATGTATGGTTACAAGTCAATTTATATATTAATGACTTTATAAGACATCTTGGTGCTACACTGAATTTTAGTCTGTTACCTTGTGCACTACGTTTCAAACAGAAGCAAAAAATTGCTTCAAGTTAGTGATTCTAGGAAAAGCTACACTCAGGAAAAAATGTGTATATATACATCTGGAATTTGGAAGAGCTAACTAATACAGCCCTGAACCACCAGGTTAACAAACATCAGATGCACTCAGACCGATGCAATTTCCTTATTCCTTTGGATTGTCAGAAAAAGCATCATGGTAATATCCTGAGAAGTTACATTAAATTTAACTTAGAGATGTTCATAAAACCACAAAATACCATGATTGAAATTATTTATATGACAACCTATTTAAAAGAGCACTCTTCAAAGCCAGTCATTTTTCAAAGGAATATGGCTGAGAAGGCCAGAGTCCTTACTACAAAGGAATTTTTTAATTATTAAAAACAACAACAACAACAACAAACCATACAAAGATCACATAACAGTTCAGAATAAGAAGCATAATGCACGTAATGCAGAGAAAAATCAAGCAGCACACTATGCAGTTTCCACCACTTGCACAAATTCCATTGCTTTGGGTAGCTGCAGCTCAGCACAGGGCTATGCCCACCAGATTCTTCACTCTTTATACAATGTTTCCAGAAACGTTATGTAGGAGGGATGTTGCATACACAATCTCTACTGTTCAATTACTGTCACATCACATTGTATCTACGGCTCCTGGGGGGGGGGGGGGCAGTGACTCATTTTATGACACATACACCTTCCACTGCTGTTCCAGAGTCGTACCACACTAGATTTTCAATGACAAAGTTTATTTTAGTTGAGCTGGGCAACTCAATTGCTGGCAGGTGCAAACCTTTGCTAACTGCAATCAAGTCAGCATCACAGCAAGACTGTACAATGATAGACAACTTTCTAGCTTAATTTTTCAGATATTCAGGTGCTTAGCTTTAACACATACAATTACATATATAATATACTGAATTTCACATATGTATATGAGCAAATCCCCCTACATTAACAAACTGCAAAGCAAGAAATTGCCTTTTAAAGCCTTAGCCTGAAAATTCTTTCCTCTCTACACAGGTAAAATGCATTATGCCAAGCGCACAAACATGAACGCAGCTGAACTCGCACAGCAGCCCCTTGCACACAAGTCTTTCAAGTAACAATTTACAGCACAACACATTCTACATTTCGGCAAAGCAAGGACTTGTTGGTAAGATGGAATGATCTACTTGCATAAACATTGAGACCATGTATTGAGAACACTGCAACAGTACATGACAAGCAACGCGTTTTCAATATAAATAAAAGCTTTCCATGTCAATCAACTGCATATAGTAGAAGAAATTAATTAAATCCATGATGCATGAAATTTAACTTAATTTCTCACCCACAAATTTCAGTGGAAAAAACAGAAATACAAACTCAGATGCACAAAGTGCTCGGTGGAATCACTCCTGATAACCTCGGTTACTTAAGACACCGGGATATATGGTTTGGATACAGTCTGCTTCTGATGCTACGTCTCACAGCAGCATCCAAACAACCAGTCCACATCATCTGGAACCCTACAGTTGAGAAAGTCACCTTTAATTTACACCTGGCTACCACATGCTTGCACGTCAGCACGTTTTTACAAGTACTGTATATTTTATACTGCATCCGCTCAGTCATTTCAGCTTTTAAACGGTCTGGGAATGTTTACTAAACTTTCAGTATCTTTATTTGGAAAACACTATACAATGGAAAGAGAACACATCACACATTGTTACATTGTTACAGCTTTCTTAGCTTTCTCTATTCTTCACTGCTGATACAATCTTTCTTTAAGAGGTGTTTTCAACCCTGCTTAGATACACAATAAATTCAGACAGACACTGTCTTTACAACATAAAAGATCTATAAAACAAACACGACTCAGTATGGTTGGCTCTCCATTGAGGAAAAAAAAAAAGCACAAGCTACCTCATTATCTATACCTGCTCTAAATCACAACAGCCACAATCTCCAAATTCTTCAAAACAGGGGAGAACAAGCATACAAACTGAAGAACACAGAAAGGCAGCTCAAACAGGAGTTCAGCATTCTACTTCAATAACCACCACGAGCATCAGCAAAATACATCTCAGCACTCACATGCCCACGTTTTAACCAAATATTTCCTAACTGACTGCCAACTTTGCCCATCAGCCTAAACGAACTTAAAATCCTTTAACACTCGGACTAACACTAATTTGCCTTGCACGCTGTATGCAGACTGAATGGAGGAGGTGTAGCTCCTCCATCTCCAGACAATAAAAAATCCTTCACATTGAGCACTTATTAGAGGTTAGAAGTAAACACATGTAAGAAATTTCTCCCAAGCTCAGAGAAGTCTAATCCATTTGCAAACATCGGAGGAACAGACAGTCTGAAATCCTTCTAACCAACATCTTCCATAGTCAATGAAGTAAAGAGCTTGAAGACTTCCATTGCACCAGTCATCCACAGTTACAAAGCATTAAAAGCTCAGGTCAGCAGAAGGACACACTGCAAACCAATGAACAGACAAAGTGAAAGCTCACGTCAAGAAAAATGTCACACGAATTATGGAACTGGTTCACAAGATAAACTTCAAATTGTGCCACAGGTTGAACTTCTGCAGTAATGGTAGCAGTTATCTCACATTTATGTTTATCACGTCTGATTTTGTAAGTTTCAGCTCACAAAAGATGACAAGATTTGTATTTCTGCCATTAGCAACTGCTGACAAAATATGAGTATTAACAGCATGTTGAAATACTGCACTGGAAATTCCTAGGCTGTAACAAATGTAAAGCACAATGTATATACTATTCCAAAAGGAAACTAAAACACACTGTCTTATTTGCAGCCTCCCCTCCTGTATGGGTACAAGTGCAATGAAAGATAAAGGGACAGATCTCAGAATAAAACTGCACTAAGAAAAGTCAAATTCATTTTACTGCTAATGTTTATACTCATGTTAAGGAGATTTAATCCAGTGTCACGAACTTCCCTATGTTTCCTGAGTGACTTCATGGAAGTCAGAGCAGGTTCACTTACCAACCTCACGAACATCATTGCAAACTCTCTTCCCAGAGGATACAGCTCCATGCAAAGCAGCTCCTGCCCATAAAATGCAGCTTGGCCAAAACCTACAGATCCACTGTTCTGTATTACCCACAACAGATGCTCTCTTTTAGGGAGAAACAGTTAAAAAACACAAAAACAAAACAACACACAAACAAAACAAACCACGTGGTTATTTTTGAAGCTGCTTCCTCTGTCGCTGTTTTTAAGAGGCAGTTCTTAGGGAAACTACCAACAGGACAGCTGAGTCACTTCTCACATTAACAGCGTGTTGAATTTCTCTCACTGAATACACTTTTCATTTTGAAAATGAGAGAGAAAAGACAACGCTGGTTTCCTGTGACAGAAGAGTACAATTTTTCTACAAGTGTCACAGCAGCCTTTCAGTTTGGTACAGTTTGGCCAGCTATTTACGGAACATTGGTGAAGGGACAGACCAAACCCATGGCTCCACACTACATGAACACACGGAGTTCACCTTGTTTCAAAGTTCTGAAATTATAACAGCCTTACCCTACAGAGTCACATTCAATGAAAAGCCAGGTACAGAATATACAGTCCACAGCTAATTGGAGTATAAGAATTTCCTGACTGTTCAATTTCATGGCATTTAAGGCTCTACCTTCCCCTCCTCAACATCCCGGATGTCAATCCATGCTGTAACCTGATTTAATTTGCCAGATGATGGGATGGGAATATGCTACAATGGCATATTACTGTAACTACGATGCTCTTTCGCTCTCAACTTTTCATCAAAGACGACGAGTTTTGCTTTTAAAAGAAGCACGATTAATTACATCTAAAAATAGTGCATCTCAAATTAGTCTGCATTTGAAGAGTACAGAAACTACAGAGCCAGGGAAGTTCTTCAAACAATCATCAGAAAATATTTCCCCCAGTAAACCACACAAAATGCAGCACAGCTTCCTTGTGCAGAAAAATAAATAAGTCAATGTATTCCACAATGGCTACAAATCATTCAGATATAGTAGGTTCAAGTTCATTATGCAGAGAGAATTACTTCTTTCTTTCCAGTAACTTTATGATTAAAGTCATGCTTTTTGTGTTGTTGCTGTTGTCCTGCTAAAATGAAATGGAATTCCATTCAGAGCAACTTTAATTTCAACACCCAGTACACATTATAGTACTTCTATGGCACAATGAAAAAGTAATTGAAACTTTTCTCCAAACCTCTGCAGACTTCCTGATGTCCTGCACGCAGCACAGCCGGAAACTTGGACTTGCCCCTAAACTGCTGCAAGCTTGGCATGCAGAGAGCATCTCAGGGTGGGGGAGAAAAGGGGAGGAGGAAAAAGAGGGGAGTGGAGAAAACTAGAGGAGAAATTTAGGCATGCACACACATCAACCAGACAAGAAGCCTCAGAACAAGTTCAGCAAGGAAACACCTATAAAATGATTTTTTGCCTGGATATAAAGCTTTTATGACTTCAATTTTTCTTTTTGAAGTATTCCTTACTCTGAAAGTGTAAGGTAAAGAAAACAAACGAAGGACAAAAGAAAATTCTATAGTGATACCCTATGAACTGTGTTAAAAGAAAAAAAAAAAAAAAAAAAAATGCACACACAAAGAGCCATACATAAA